GAAAAGTTTATCAGCAGCCCGCAACTCCAATGATGTTTGTTTTCCTTCCCTGAGCATATTGTGATAGTTCGAGAGTGCTTCTGACTCACACGTGTGTCACTGTCACCCACAGATCCCAACAACAGATACTGACAGTCTAAAATGACAGAGACTTGCTGACAGCGACTTAAAAATTACCATTTACATGCCAGCTCTTGCAGTTGCTCAGAACCTGATCAAAACCAGCTTTTGGAGATTAAATTCAGAATCTCCACTGAGTTGTCTCTACCAATAACCTTAATTGCAACGATTAAGTGTGGGTAGTGGCTTTTGGGTTTTTGCACGTTTGGACTGGAAACATCACCAGCCCTACCTGGCCAGCCATGCCCAGAAGCAGAATGAATGAAAAGAGCCAACCCTACACTCCGCTAAACTTCACTTCGGAGGCAGGCACAAGCTCTCAAAAGCTTTTACATTTTGTGGGGATTTTTTCTGGTCTGTGGTTTTCGGTTTGATTTGCTGTTTTCTTTTCTCTGTTTGTTTCTATTTTACAAAACAAAGAGCTCTCTAAATCAAAAAGAGGAAAACACAGAGCTCTTCAAACTTTACTGATGCTCTCCTCCAGCATCCCAATGCACACATGGAAGCCAATAACAAGACCTTCCCTCCAATCCTTCCTCTGGAACCCTTGTTTGTAATTTCGAGCTCTGTATTTTCCTACCTATAACCCACGCTCTTTAAAGGTACTGTTCCTTGTGAATCTGTCCATCAGAGAACCCACATCCTTCGGTAAGTTATGGTTTCCATCTCCTTTGTTCCTGCCCACTTTGTTCTGGCTGCAGTTCCAGTAAGCTCTCTAGCTTTTAGCAGAATTACCCTGCTACGAGAGAGTGAGCAAAGGGAGATGATGAAGCTAGCGGGGTGAAAAGGCAGAGGACCGAAAGCAGACAGGAGCGTCACTGTCTCACTCTGATGTGCACAGAGCAAACACAGACGCTGAATCCCAGGCTTCTGGTGGGTCACATGGACTTGGCATTCATATTGCTTCCCTGAAAGCTTCTCCTCATCAAAAAAGAAAAAAATGTACCTAAAAAGTACAGACGTACCTAAAGAATCATAGAATATCCTGAGTTGGAAGGGACTCACAAGGACCATCGAGTCCTGCTCTTGGCCATTGTATATCTCTTCATCATCCGGAAGCCACCCTTAAAACCCCTCCATGCATGGCATAGGGACTTCCCTCCACCTGAATGGATCACCAGGGCTGCCACAGACCACACCAGTGCCTGGACAACCAGCCAAAGGTGAAACCCAGCATGGTCTGGTGCCAGCCAGAGCAGAGGGTACAAGTGTTGCTCAGAGTCATACCAGAGACAGAAGAGTTATTTTATTAGGAGGAAGGAAGAGCTCTGTGGGTCAGGCTTTCAGAGACCTGACAAGCAACAAAATACCACTGAGGATGTATTGTTCACACAACCGTGATGGGCAAAGGAATAGAGAAACCACTGTAGGCACCCTGAGGGTATATGTTTCCACAGACACACAGAAACTGTCTTCTTGGAACGATTTGTCATCCACCCAAGCTACTGCTTTTCTCTAGCTACAGTCAGCAAGAGATGTTTCATGGAAACCTACACAAAACATTCTCTTCTTTCCAAATAGATGTTTATGATACAATGGGCACCACCATTAGCTGGTATAATTCTGAATGTACCTGACATTCATACAACCGTCCAATCTCCTATCCAGACTTGGCTAAATTCTTGTTCTCAGCAACATCCTGCATGATAAATGCCACCATTTAGTTACACTGAAAAGCACTTAATTTTCTTAGCCACTTTCACCTTGGTTTGCATTTGTACAAAGAAACAGGCACCCCTTTTCCACAGCACTGTTTCTGTGACACCTTTTTAACATGTGTCCTCTTAATAGGAGCAGTTCCATACTGCTGGTCAAAATCTCTCAGTTTTCCAGCTCCCCACTGTTCTTATTATCCCTCTCCAAAACTGCATACACAAAGTTTCACTGATCACAAGGGCATTACTTAAGTTTTACAGTCAGACCTTATACAGGTAGGACACAAGCAGTGATTTTAACAAGGCAACAGCCAGGCTTCAAAACTGAGCAGTGTCTCCACTCTGACCATGAACCCCTACACTGTAATTCTTACTATGAGTTATAATTAAAAATACATACTGATGATCGTATCATATGATACATGTAAAAGCACTCCAGCTCCACTGATACAGCAGCCAACACTACTAGGTGCCTTGCAAAACTCACTAGTCCAGTTCTGGAGCTTCACCCCTGAATATCCTAGAGAAACAAGTGCTTTGGCAAGGGATACACAACTGAATCTGCCATTACATTATTTGAAAGCTTGAATTACACTGCACCAGTTCCTCATTCTGCCCATTACCTTGCTAATACTGCACAGCTAAAGGTGTTACTCAGAGCAATGCAACTTTGAAATCCAATGTGCTCTGCAAATTTCCATGAGACAAGGCAGGTAAACTAACCATGATTGCCAGGATACGGGACCGGAAATTCTTTCTGGCCTGCCAGTCTAAAGCCAGGCTTTGGCCAGTTTGTCCTGGTCTGAAGACAGCACATGACAGACAAGATCATTCAATACTTTTATCCCCTAAAGCTGGATAACTGCTCCATGAAACAGGAACAAGGGACAAGACTCAAAGAGTGGGAACTCACACCAAGACAGGCATGCTCACCAGCATCCTGCCCTGACATGCAGACTGATCTCCAAACATGCTCCAAAGGTGAAAAACTCACCTCTGTGCAACAGGAATCAGAGCTTCTCACCCAGTTCTGTACCAGCGTCTCTGCCCAGCCAGTTCCAACCACACCAGGTGAGCAGGGCTTGCAAGACAGAGACATCTACACCAGGAGAAAGGCAGTACCTCTCACCAACCCAGGCACCACAGGACTGTACAGCTGCAATTCATAGCAGCTTGGGGCCGTACCTACAGACGCTTCAATAAGACACAGTTATAGCTTCATTTTCCTGGACACATCCTCCATTTCCACGCAAGAGTTTAGCCAGGTAGCTCAATGGCCACCACCCACACGATCATCTGCGGCCCATCCCGCAGGGAAAAACCCTCCAACAAAGGCTAAACAACTGAACAGGGGAATAACAGAGCTATTAAATTCAGGAGCAATAGGAAGTGAGGTGGGCAGGGGGAGACAGAGAAGGCCAACAGAGAGAAGTTTTCAACAGTAAATCTTTATCCACAGATGTACTTATTTCCCAAGGGAAATCCCAGAGTATTATTTAGCCTTGTGTGGGCCAGTCCTGGTGCAGCAAGGGTGGGGATAATTAGAAAGTCCCTCACATCCCCAATCTGTGCTAGTGCACAGCAGGCTTGGCTACACACAGGACAGGGGCCAACATTTTTCAGCATGAACACAGCCACATTATTAACATAGAGATGAAACGCTGTGTCCTGTTCCCGAGCTCTGCATGTTCCCATACCTTCCTAATACCCCATATACGCAACTACTTGGTGAGCCAGCATCTGCTGTATCACCCCGCTTCAGGGATTTCCCACTCTCTCAGATCTTGCCCCAGAAATCACTCCTGGAATGAATGAGCACAAACTCTATAGGCAAATGAGTACACAGAAGCAAAGGAATCCTCAAATCTAGAGTATTTCCACAGACTTGACACTTCCATGTGAGATCTTGCATTTTGCATTGGGTCAAAACCACTTTGTGCAGAGGGCCAAAGGTGTTGTGGATGTGCAGGAACACATATCAGCACATTGGTAAACTTTCGTGAACCAATTGCCTAGCAAAACAGAAAGAAAACAAACGGGAAACTAACCAAACAACCGCACAACTGGCCCAAAAAGCCAACTCCTACACGTGTAGAAAAAAAGAAACAAACAAAAAATTAACAAAACAAAGCGGGAGGCTCCAACTCTCGTTTGTTTCACCAGCAGGGCCAAGCTACACCTCGAGGTACAGTAGCCAGAGCAATTACGGCAGGAGTTTCTCCATCAACGCCTCCTCGGATGCGCTGCCTGCTTCCCAAGCACAGCCCCGGGGCGCGGGGAGTGCTCCTGAACAATGTCAGAGCCAAGGTTAGCCTCTTCAGAATGGGAGGGCAAGAAAAGGGGAAAGAAAAAAAAACCTACATATATTTAAGAAAAAAAAAAAAAGCCCTGCGTGACGTCAGGGTCTGGGAAACTTTTCCGTCCTCACCTGGCGGGCGAGGCTGGGCCTCCCCCGGCGTATAAAAAGCCGCCGAGGCTTTATTCAACTTGTTACTTACGACGAGCCCCGGCCGCGGGCTGGCGGGGGCTCGGGGCGGGGCGGTGGCCCCTGCTCGGGCCAGGTGCACCTGCGGCACCGAGCCCGCCCGCCCGGGGGGACCCCGGCCCGCCCGCCGGCACCGAGGGGGAGCCGTGCGGAGGGGCCGCCCGAGCACCGGGGAGTTGCCCCTGCCCCATGCCCGGCGCTGCCCCCGCCCCGCGGCCGAGCTCGCCCCGCACCGGGCCGGCCCCCTCCGGCGGCCGCGGCGCCCCGGGCGGAGGGAGGAGCCAGGGCGGCCCCCCCGGGCGGCCGAGCAGCGCTCCCCGCCCCGGCCGGGGGCTCCAGCTGTGGCACAGCTGCCTCGGCGGGCGGAGGGGGGGGGGAAGGGGGGGAGGAAGGGGGCAAGTTATTATCTGCAACAATACCTCGGGGGAGGAGGCAGCGGAGGCGAGCGCGGCGGCGGCGGCGGGAGGAGGCGGCGGGGGGGGCGGGCCGGGGGCGGCACCGGGACCGCCCCCCCGGGACCGCCCCGCGCCGCCCGCCCCCGGCCGCGCCGCCGGCCCCTTCCTTCCGCCCGCCCGCCGGCCCCTTCCGTGCCCCGCGCCGCTGCCCCGCCGCGTCCCCCGGGCGGCCCCTCCCGCGCTCCCGCCCGGGTACCCCCATCCCGTGCCCGCCGCTGCCCCCCGGGCAGCCCCTCCCGCGCCCCGCCCCGCCGCATCCCTCCCTCCGCTCCTCCGGCCCCTCCGCATCCCCCGCTCCTGCATCTCTCATGCCGCGCCGCCCCCCCCCCGCCCCCAGCCCTTACCTCCCCCCGGGTGCAGGGAAGGGGGGCCCGGCGGCCCCGAGCTCGGCGGCACGGCCCCGAAACTAAAAGCGAAAGCGGCGGGCGCTGCTTCCCGCTCCGCCGGGCTGCCGCGCTCTGCCCGCGGCTGACGTCAAGGGCCCAAATTCCTGTCTTTCCCTGCAGGCAGATTTGTCCATGTAAGGGCTGGGGCCGGGGCCGGGGCCGGGGCGGCCGCACGGCGGGAGGGGGCTGCGCTGCGCCGCGGCGGAGGGAGGGCGGGGGGCAGCGGCTCCCGGTACCTGGCAGGGGAGAAAACGGGGCTGGAGGCGGCTCCGACCCTGCGAGCATCACCTTCCTGCCCTGCATCCCGGGGCCGGGGGAGCGTTAGGCCCAGAAACGCACCCTGTGCCTTGCAGGATCCAACTTTCCACAGGGAAGTTTTGTTCAGGGCTCCTGTGATTTTTTGGGTGCTTTCCAACTAACTTTCTCTCTGTTCTTCCACAGCTGGGGCGAAGGACAAGGGGAGGGGAGGTAAAAGGTGCTGGGAGTTCCAAAGGAGCTGCCTGCTCAGAGATTCAGAACAAAACCTGTCGAGAATATTAAGGAGAGGGGGAAGGGAAACTATTTTCTGATTGCTTTCTGTTTGATTGTTTTGTGGCTATTTCTAAGGACTGCAATTAAAATAATTGGGATTTTTAGTGTGATTGTTTTTATAATGGAATGTTACCTTTTAAGTTGCTGTTCAGTATCTGCATCTGCCCTGAAGAGAAGGGGAAGACAGAAGGGTTACATTGTGTTCAGGCTGTGAAGGGGAGCACTGCCAAGCCTTACTCATTTGGAAAGAGATTTCTGGATGAGTTTTTAGGCACTTTAAATGTATTTCATTTTTACAATAAAGGGCTCTGCTGTTTGCTTTCAGAAGATGTTTACAATCTTATCCCATTACCAGCTTTAATGTCCACAGACAGTCCTTGACAGCCCCAGGAGGGCAAGTCTACACGTAAGGACCCAAAAAGGACAATAAGTGCTTAAAAGACTTAAGAAGCTGGAGTAGAGAATTGTGATTCAGCCTCTCTTCACCTTCCCTGGCTGCCAAAGTCAGTGTGCTTCCAGATCAGAGACCCCAGGAGATACCACCGTGCCCTGACAAGCACCCCTTCCCTGGCAGGCCCCACAGAAGGGGAAGCACGGTATATCCCAAATTGACTCCTCAGTGCACACCCCCTGTCTGCAGTTGATTTGGTGCCCTGTGGTGGCCCCCATGTACCAGGGGTGCTAAACTCCCCCCAGGAACAGAGAGGGCTGCCAGGGCCAGATGCTGTCTTAGAAGCACTGCAGCCAAATCTGCATGAGCCTGTCAGTCATGGTCACAGGCGTTTTCTAAGCATTATGACTATGACTAGAAATACCCAAGCCTTTTCCCAGCCACCTACCCTGTGTTTAAACCCTGCTGAGATCCAAAACCAAAGCTGAACAGTGCATGAGTCACCAGGGCCTCATGCTGTAGTTGTACCTAGAGTGCCAGCAGTGCTCTGTGAACATGGCCTGTTGTGAAAGACACGGGCACAGCTGCTTTCTAGAGCACCAGTGGATGAGACTGTAGAACCAGCTCAAGCTGAGCAACCAAAGCCTTTGCCCAAGGCCCTGTAAATCTGAGTTCAGCTCCCTCCCTCCAGAATGTACAGTTCACCTATCTCCTTCCAACTGAGCGCTTTGACCGCTGGGCTGCAAGGTCATGCTCCTGGATTGCCCTCCAAGGACAACTCATGATGGGGTTTTCTGCCACCAGGAGCAGGTGGTCATCACCAGGGACTGCCTGGCACTCATGTCTGTCAACCTCAGCATGGTGAGGCTCTCAATAGAGCCCAGATTTGTAATGCTCCTGAGAAGCAGATACACACAGGAACTATTGCCTGGATTTTTTTTCTCTGTTTGAGCTTTCTTGCAGATCTGCAACAGCCCTAGTGTTGTGTCAATTGGTATCTAGGGGAAGCATCTGAACACTAAAAAAAAACGTTTGGCCTAAGATGAGAGACAAGTGTTCTCCATTTAGTATTTCAGAGAAAACCAGTGGTCAAATATTTTCCTTGTCCCATATCCAACAATTATTACTTCTTTATCCATCAAGCTTATGCAATTTTCCAGTCCTGTTAACAGAAGATAAAATACTTTGCCCATCCTTAGCAGCCTCCTTTGAATGATCCCACAAGTTTTAAGCTTTGAGCCTCCAAAGTGTAAGATAGTAACTACTACTACCTCCATTTTGCAGGTAGATGAACTGTGACTAATCCTCTGCAGCTCAGCAGCAGAAGTTTGATTTGCAGCCCATTACCCTTGTAACGTGCTGCCCAGAATGGCCACTGCCTTGTCAAACAAAGCATGAATTTTCTTTTCTTTTTTTTCCAGTTTCCTATCATGACCAATATCATACACTTTGGAAATGAAAGTAGAAAATTCAAGGTGTTGAGCCTGGCTGTGAAAATCTGTTCTTTGCCTGGAAAGAATCAAAAATACTGGCAAACATACAATCATTCCTTTGGTAATATCTACCGCACCCTGCACCATAGCAGCAAAATGAATTAAACAGCAAAAGACTGAAATGTTTGACATTGCATAGACCACTCAGGAGGTAGGAATACAGGAGTCAGCCTGGGCCAGTATTAAGTCAAGGAAATTAAGTTTTTTAGTGGTTAAGGTGCATGACTAGGAGATTGGAAACCTGGCTTCTCCTCCTATTTTCCCTCTGTTGTGTGACTTTAGACCAGTTGATTCACTTCCCTGTGTCTGGAGGAGCCTTATAAACCCACAGCACAAGGTTTGAGCAGAGAAAGACACACCTCCCATCAGAGGGTGCACTTTTCTGTGCAAAATTTCCAGAAGTCAGCAGGTGAAACCTTGTTTTTCAGAGTTTTGGGTCTCTCCTTTTCAGTGAGATTTCAGATGCAAAACTCACCAAAAAAAACTAGGACAGGAAGAGCCTTTGGGAAGCCACATGAATTGCATCTCTCAGGCCAGAAAGCAGAAGCAGCACTGCCTAAACCATACCCGACAGAGGTTCACCTACCCTGCTCGTAAGAATATTTGGAGAATCCATTCCAAAGCTTCACAGTTAGATAAATTATCTTTATCTCTAACCCAAGTCACTTTTGCTGCAATTCAGCTCTTAATCAGATGGAGTTGTGGGGATCTGACGTATTCCCTCACTAGCAACAATTTCAGAACAACAGGAAAGTCGCCCACCTGGTGAACTAATTCATCTGTGGGTAAAAGCCAGAGAAGTTGGAAAACACACTAAGCATGTGTTTTTGGGAGAGCTGCCACCTAATTTTCAAACAAAGATCAGATGCAATTAGCCTTAGATCAACTGGAGAGTCCTCTGCCCCAAACCACAGCACTTTTCACCCACCTCGCCAGCAGGACGCCTCGTTTCCACCAAGACACATGCAGTGCACACTTGACCCTTCAGTCTCCGAAGGGTATTCTTGGAAGAATATGCAAAATCTGAGCTCACAGCAATAGCATTGGGGTACCTCAGGAGTGTATAAACCTCCCTGAACCCATATTAGGGTCTGCTCCCTGCCGTGCTCCATCCACTGTCCAGGCCATAGCTGCCTGTGCCACAGAAATGGTAAAGCTTTGTAGAACTGCTAAATCCCAATGCTGAGAAGTACAGTTGAGCAATGTGCCAGTGTAGCATACTTCATTTTAAGGACATGCTTAAATCCAATTTGAGCCCAGAGAGATTTTAGCTTAGGTTTAAGCTTTCCATTGAACAGGGTGGATTTAAGGATTGAAGTGTTTTGCTAGACTGCATCTTTGGTTAATGAGGAAGGAGACTTGCTAGTGTCTAGAAGAAAGAACTGCCTGAAGCTCTTTGGCCATAGGCAAACCATTACTAGCACTACTCCATATTTCTAATAATTTTTGATGAAATTAGCACAAAGAATTAGTAAAGAAGTTGATAATTTCCTTAACAATCCTCAGTCTCTGGGTCTCAGCTTAGTGGGGAGAAAAAAAGCAACTTCATAGTATCTCATCAGGATGATGTGATATAATTAAAGCAGAAGCCACTAGACTTTGTATTTTACACCATCTGGTATCTTGCACTGTGTCTCACTAATGGTGAATGTCTCATGTCCAGATTTTAGCATTGAAATCACAAGTGCTTTGCTTTACAGGAAGGGAATAAGTTAAATTCTTTATGGAGCCTACACGGAGTAAACAAAGTACCCCAGTCTTAAAAAAAATGTTTGTGGTAACAAATATTTTGGGGGACATTTTCGCATAGGCTCTGACCTCCCTGTTGAGAATCAAAGTGAAAATATTGAATGTACTAAGCAGATGTCTTCTCCTAGTGACAGCAAGATGAGCAGAGACAGCTGGTTAGAAGAACAACAACAACAAAAACACATCATCATTCCTGCTTTGGCTCCAAAAAATCTTGGATTTGTTGTCATGGAAGAAAGCTATGTATGTAAGAAGCCAAGAAAGAGACAAATATTATTGAATCTGGTAGCATTTTAATGAATATGCTAGAAATAACTTAAGTAGGAAGAAAAACTGGATTTGCTCCATTGTTTATTAAAAGAATGACTCTTCTTATTTCCACAGGGACCTATAGCCTATATAGTCATTAACACATTTACAAGATGTATATTTTAAATATGTTGCTTCACTCATCAATCTTGTGAGCTCTTCTTCTAAAGTAAATAGAGTTACAGCACGTAGAAATGTATACAGCCACCTAAATATAATCTCTGCAAGCTAGAAATGCCAACTGTGGATTTTGCCTGTAACTCCTTCAGTCAGGGAGTATGGGTATAGTACGAAGACATCTAAAGAGATATGAAATATTAGGAAGGGAGAAGATGAGAAAATTAGATTCCCCCTGGTAAAATATAGGAGAAATAATTCACAAATAAAAATAAAATAAAATAAAAACAAAATTAAAATATGAAGAGGTATTCTGGATGAAAATCGGTCTAAGCTGCAGTGAACAACAGATTCAAAGGGAGTTTTTTAAGAAGGCTGCAAAATAAGCCAATGACCTTCTGACCTCTCTGTTCAGAGGACCTCTCTGTTTCGATGGTTTTCATCTGAACAAAACTTGAGTTCTCTGGTTGCCCCCCTGAACATTTCCATTTCCATCCCCTTTTTGATCTTTGGGCAGACTTGTGGGAAGAACAGGACTGATGAGAAGAGTTTGAGAAGTCTGAGAAGCTGTGCAGTTTGGGTAATGCCAAAGACCAGTAACTTAAGGTGGATGTCCCCGGAGGTTCTGGGTAGCCCAGATCCCACAGTGCCATAAGATAGTGCCTTACGCAACAGCAAAGCTCTGGATTTGCTGGCTTGGGAGGTGTCTTCCACAGAGTGCTTCAAAACACCTAGCTGACTCCTACAGAGGTCCTAAATGGCATAAAGCCGTGAAGAAGCAAGAGTTTAAGTTGGTTATACCAAAGATATATATATAAAGAAAATGATGTAAAGAAAACTATTTATTTTGGAAAATTACTGCCTTGAGATTTGAGAGGTGTGACCAATCTGACAGACCAGCTTGTAAACAGAGGACAATGAAGTCAAAACGAGAGGACATGGCTGCTCAGTCTCGAGTTCTTGAGTGCCAGCTATGTGATTAGGCAATCATTTTCCAAAGTAAATAGTTTTCTTTACATCATTTTCTTTGTAGGAAACCAGGGCT